AAAAAAAAAAAAAAAAAAAAAAAAAAAAAAAAAAAAAAAAAAAGAACCATGAAAAAAAACATCCTTCCTTCCTTGTCTGGAATTTCACCACAACAATCTCCTCATCCATTTGAATCAGCTAGTATAGCAACCAGCTCCACATCATTCAGTTTTAACTCTACTGCCAGCTCTAGAGGGGTTTTACCGTCTCCGTTCATTGCTCGTGGGTCGGCTCCCCTGCAACGTATACACCTAACGATTAACGACAGGGAAATAGGGTGAAGATGTTGAATTAATCTCTTTTATCACACTATCTAACCTGGAAAGAAGCAATTTGGCAAACCCAGTTCTGCCTTTAACGATGCAACGGTGAAGAGCTGATTGACGTCGAGAATCAATGGCGTTAATGTTCGCACCACATTGTAAAAGGAGCTCGAGCATACTGATGTCTCCAGTTTCGCAAGCGAGATGCAGGAGTGTGCACCCATCTAGATCCTCCATTGGCTGGCCTTCACTCGTACCTCCCAAGTTCGAAGAGCTTGTAGATCTCTCCGCAAAATCACTGGATTTGTTATTATGTTCGAGGCCAGTCGTCTCCTGCATTAACATTACTTTAGCAAGAGTCAAAGAGCCACATGCCACTGGCTTATAAACCGCATTTACGTCAGCTTCCGAGTTTATAATGTGACGATAAACAGCTTTCTTGTCGTTCGAGCGTACACCATCCCAGATCTGTTGCGCTACTAAATGAGGATACTGATTTTCCTTTGGTTTCCGAACGAAAGCCTTTTCTGCATACTGACATTCAAAAAGCAGCAACAAGCATGAATAAGATTAGTGAGTAGCCTATATCATGTCCCTCTGAAGCTCAAATAAGATTAGAGAATTTGTTGTCATTTGACATCTCAGGAGCTAATCAAGCATATGTTGGACAAATGTTGCCAGAGCAAAAAAGTTGGTTGAGTTGTCGCGTGAGATCTCACATCAGTTGGAGAGGGGAGACGTGTTTCAAAACTGATGGGATGCCCAAAAGGAAAAGCCCAAATAGGACAATATGTGCTAGCGGTGGGCTTAGGCCGTTACAAATGGTATCAAAGCTAAACACCAGGTGGTGTGCTAGCGGGGACGCTGGATCCCCAAGGGAGGTGGATTGTGAGATCTCACATCGATTGAAGAGGGGAACGAAGCATTCCTTATAAGGACGTGGAAATCTCTTCCTAGTAGACACGTTTTACAACCTTGAGGGGAAACTTAAAAGAGAAAGCCCAAAGAGGACAATATCTGTCTAGAAGACGTGAACAAACTAGAAGATAAATGATATCACACCTTTGCATGAATGAACTTCTCCTTCACTGATATTGGATCAGAATGGCTGGGTTTGGTGATAGAATGCATTTGCTGTTTATCAAACCTGTACAAGCTTCACCATAAAAATAAGAGATGAATGTTAGCAAAACCAAATTGAATCAAATAAGATATTCAACATTGTGTTCGCAAACTTTGGACTTGACTCAATAGTGAAGTTCATTTACCCTGTCGTAACGAGATCGACCTGAAAGGAACTTCTCGATTGCAGCATCTCCTCCCAAACCGAGTTCGCAAACGTATTTCCAAGAGACTGAAACAAACTGATCACTGACGGTTCCCACACTTTCACATCTAATGTAAGGGATCTCACCTACACACAATATTTTCAACAAATCATTACATAATACGACACGCATATATTGCCCCGAGTTCGAGATATTCACCTTTGATATATGAACACCGAGATTACGGTGAACGCCAGAACACTCGATACAAACAAGAACACCGAGATTCAAAGATGCCCAGTCAGGCTCAGGAGCACCACAATCCGCGCACTTATCGTTCCCGCATACTCTACGAAGTATGTCTATTGGCTTCTCAATTTTCATAGTCGAACGTTGCTGCTGCAAGTTTCTAGAAGGGCGTTCCAAATGAGAGGAACAAAGATTTCTTTCAGATGTATATTCGTCAACCCCTGTCTGATCAAAGTCAGAACTTTCAAAAGAACTACTCTCACTGGTAGACCTGTTGTGACCACTTCCCATGGGACTACCCGCAAGACACTGATCAAAAAGTTACACAAATAAATGTTAACATTAATATTCGAAAAACATCCCGAGTCGAGCAAAAAGAAAGGCAGAGTAATACCCTCTCTGGAGCCTGAGAACTTAGTAACGAAGCGATAACTCCAGTTATTTTTTCGATCCAATCCATTTGATCAAGTGCACTCTCTGCCTGCACTAACATGCAGAAATAGATTTATAGGGAACCTTTATCTTGTTTCATACAAAGATTCTAGAAGTGAAGCATTAATTTACAGCCAAAACCAGCCCCTAAATCAAACCTGCAAAGTATAGCTCTTGGTCGGTGAAATGATGCGAAAGCAAAACCGAAGATCGGACTGGTCCGCATCAACTTTGATCGTTGAAGTGAGCAGGTTCACTGTATGATGAGCTACAGATTTCTCATCATGCACCCCACTTTGATTATGGGAAGAAAGCCAGCGGCTCAAAAGGCCAGAACCAAGCTCTGAACTATTCCTCTGACCAGATAGCTGCCCTGTAGTTGCCTAAAATAAAGCCATCATACACATGAAGCTAATTCAGAAGCTAACGTATAAAAGATAGCTGCCCTGTAGTTCCTGCTCATGACAAGGTTAACATGATTTAATTACTCACAGATGATTTGCTGCACTGCTTGCGGTAATAATACAGCAATCCCCGGCTATCAAGAACGAAAAATCGTCTTTTCCAGTCACCCCTCAAGTTCGAAGAACGCTTTGAGAGATAACCTTGTCGAATGGTTTGAACCTAAATTATGGTTGAACTATAAAAATATGGCCATGCAAAAAGGAGCCTACTGCCTAATGCACCTTAGGGGAACAGTGATATAGTGCAAATGGACACACAAAGATGCAATATTTCCTCCTGACCTTTCCTTTGGCAGCAGATTGCATGACTTCTTCTATCATTTTATGTGAGCTTCTACCAATGGCTTGAATACCATCTCCTCCATTAGGTGATCCATTCGAACCATTGGATGACCACCTACTCTCCCGATCAACCTGCCTCTTGTACTCTTGCATCCGTTCGCTAAGAGCAGCCTGCTCATAGTTCGACCTTTCTCTTGATTGCTGGGCATACGTCAAAACCTGCCAAACAAAACCACATCGTGTTATTTTAACTCCAATAGTTATATAAATCCACAGCTGATCAGAGTCATGTAACATTGAATAGTCAAACGCCTCAAAGCATACAACAACCTGATTAATATATGGCTCCATCTGATGCAACAATTCATAACCCTGCAAGGAGGAGGTAAAAGATGAGTAGGAATATGCCGATACAGTTAACGAATATGCCAAAAATAATTTACAAGAATTCACCTGTTTGAAGTAACGAAGATGCGCATCCATTGTCCCACTCACTGCCTCTAAGAATTCG